TTTATTCTCTTATTGACATTTTTTTGTCCAACATTCGGTCTTATATAACATTATGGGTCTTAAGTTGTATGGCAAAATTTCTTTATGCTTGACCGACACGTTTCTATCACACATAACACCTGAATTACTCCTCATTTTATCCACCCACTTGAATCATATGGTTTACATCTCCTCAATTTCCTCATCGCATGGTATATTTGACCAAATACACTTAAATGTAGTCATGCTTCTAAGCTTGTCCCCACATTTCTAGTTTCCAATTTAATTTCTCTCTCGATTCTCTGACTAGGACAATATCATACGCAAAAAAGAATACAATGTGGCATTGGTTCTTAGGCATGCTAGTAAGCACATCCAAGATCAATATACATAGGTAGGGGCTCAATTTTGACCATTGGTCTAGTCCTAAAGCAATAGGAAAATCTTCCGAGACCTCATCTTGCATTCTCATACCCGATCTTGATCTTAAGACAAGATTGGAAAAATGGAATCATTCAATGTTTCTTGCATATAGTGAATAATAGCCTTACAGCCATATTCTGGCCCATGGAAGGCAGGGATAGATTTTCTTCATTGAGTATTCATTGACATTAACCATGCTCCTTTTATTGCAAATTTCAGGTTTTTCGGTTGCAAGTGAATAATGGTATTCCCATAAAGAGTTGGTATGACGATAAATTGGATTGTGCACTGATGTCATTACTTCCTTTTCTAGAGATCTTGGCTGATTCTGATGATGTTCGTCCCATCATTGCGCAGAGATTTGGTAACAAAGATTGAATTTCTTGTTTAGACCAAGCAGCTCTTCCTATTTTGTGTGTCTAGATTTAAGAAAAATTGGCCTCTAATTAGTCTCATTTCCATGAGTTCTTGAGATAAATTAACCTATACAGTAAGGTAGTTGTAGCAACCATTTCTCTTTTTCTTCTTTCCTTAGTCCTTGTACAGTTGAGGAGTGGACATGAAATATTATCAGAATATAGTTCTTAAAGTTGTTTATTTTCATTTAGTGTTCCATATGAAGGGCCATAACTCATTGAAATGGTAATAACAATCTAATTGACTTTACATGGCCTTTAATATTTATTGCTGATTCAGGTTTTGATTATTGTCTTCCTGTATATACTCCTCTAGTCTAGGACTATAATTTAAGTACTACTTCATATGCACCATGTAGAAAATTATGAACTGGACTCTTATGAGAAAGCAAAACAGATTGAATAATAAATATAGGCTGGGATAAGTTAGAACTGATATTGAAAACATCAAGCTGGCAAAAGGGTAATATTGAACAGAAATATGTATATTTGTCTTCAAACAATAATAAATATGCATTGCCATAGTCAACAGAATTGAAAATTATTTTCGGCGAGTGAAGACCAAACATGATCCGGTTCGATCCGTCCATTATCACTCACTTATCATATTTATATTTGTATCTATTTAAATATAGAGTAATAACACATTTTTCTCTAAAATACTATCGATTCTCTAACTTTTTGGTCATATATACATAATTAATAATATATTCATTAACTTTCATAAGGGCTTTGAGAAGGAGAAATATATCAATTTTTGGGTTTTTTAATTTTTAGATAATCTACTTATTAGAATGAGGATCTAATTAGAAATTGACACATAAGTAAAATGAAAATAAAAATAACATATTTATCTTATTTGCTGAAATGTGATTGGTTTGAAAGAGATAATCTCATTCCTACTTACTAGGCTAGCTTTCCCATCAAACTTATTCCAACAACATTAAGAATATTTATGTCCAAATTTTTTATTAGGCATCTAACTGAAAAAAACATACAAATGACCCGGTTCAAGGTTTCACGCGGTGTTTAATTTTTTATTAGCTCAAGCCCACTACCAGTAGCGGCCCAATGTCTCAAATCTCTCATCCTTCATCCTTACACAACCTCATCATCTTCTGCCATCGTCCTGCCACCACAACGCCACACGTGCCTCCGCCGGAGTAGGTAGCCATCGCCGTCGCCATTTAAGGTAAGTTTAACAACGTCTTTCTTGAATCTACTTGTCAGTGATGCGTTAGAATCCAGCGTCAGACTTCAGTGATGTATTTATGATATTATATTTTGATTATGTTTTGTGAATTCTTTCATGTCTTTGATCTCATCATTTTTTTCTTTTTCTTTTTTGCTTTCATTTCAATAAGTTGGGTTTTTTAAACATGCTTAGATATGACCAATCTATTTAATGTTCGATTTCCTAAGGTACTTGTAATGATTGTAAAATCTCGCTGTGGTTTGGTACGTGTGTGAAGAAGACCCTTAGGGTCTTTTTGCGAGTTTGATTTTGGAGGGGAATGAAAGGCAAGGGAAGACTTTACAACTCTAGGGTCTCACATGTGTATTTTATGACTTTCAAGTCTTCCATTTCACTTTCCACCCTTCTAAAACCTAACTCACAAATAGACCATTAGGGTTCCTTTGTGAGTTGAGTTTTGGACGGGAAAGAAGGTAAATGAAAAGTTTTGGAGTCATGAAATACACTTGTGAGATAATTCTAAAGTCTTTCCTTTCCATTCTTTTCCCTCCAAAATTCAACTTGAAAACAGACCCTTAGATGCTCCATCTGGAAGGATATCGAGCAAGAAAGATAGATCAGATGGAGCGTACTACTTAATAGATAGAGTTAGGGAGACCAAGAAAAAACGCTGCCAAAATTATAAGCAGAATTCAACTATAAATGATTTGGCTATAAGTATATAAGATAGAATATTATAACGCTTCATTCATGTAGTCGATTGTGCATAGTGTAGAAGATTTTGTTATTAGTGTTCTTCTAATGTTTCCATTTTTTATATACATTAAAACATGTAGTCCTATGCTATGTAGGAAGGTGATAACGCAGATATTGGTAGAAATAAATGAGGATTGAAACCATACAAACTGCTAAGATCTATCGTGATCTTCTCAAGGCTGTCAAAAAACATATTGTGAATGGGAAGGAAGGTGGCAACAGACATTTCTTAGAATTTGTAACCTCGGAATTTCGTAAGAACCGTAATCTGTCTGATGCTGTGGCTGTCCAACAAAATATGAAGCTTGCCCGTGATTATACTTTTCTACTTAACAGTGTGCATCATCACAAGGTAACACTCTCTCTGTTAATTTTGATTGGTCAAATGAGACCTACATAAACTCATTTAATTAAAACTTTTATGCCATATTGTATGTCCAAGATTTGTTTTTCGGTCTATTGTACCCTATTGCAACCTGATGCCGCCACAATGTGGTTTAATGTGGCGGTACTGTGATTTAGTTTCACACAGTTGTGAGAGATAATGTTTGTGTTGGTAACCGCAGCCACAATGTTGTGACTGTATCAGGTGATGTGGTTAAGAATTTAGGACCTTGATATTCAACATTCTTACCAAGGTGCATCTAGACTTGAGGAAATCCAATGCTTAGTCTTACCATTGCTATTGTTTATTTTTTGGCTCATGCTATGTCCATATATAATTAATTTTTAAGGAAAAAACACATTTCATCTGCCTGGCCTATTGACCATGTCTCATTGTTGACAATTTTGCAGGATTTGCTTTTCTCATACAATATTGCGATTGATAGGTCAGATGAAGTGAGAAGAACTCTTGGAAAATCTGCTGCAAGTGTTGGTCTTCAGCTTCCAGAGGTGTATCAGCCATAATGATTGGTGCTGATATTATTTTTAAAGGAAAATATGTGCTTGTAATACTGCAGTGAGGGGGTAACTGAATTCAAGCATAAATTAGTTATCATGCATTCTTATTGGTAGTTGCCAACCCTGTAGGTTTTTGTTGGTTGAGAGAGTTTCTTCTGAATAAAAAGGGTCTCTTATCTGTTATCCTGAACGAAAAAGTAAGGAAAAAGATGAATAAGGCTCACAGACAATGGATAAACAATATCCTGGACACACCATTTCTTTCTAATACAGGAATATTTATCAGTGTATTATAGATCTCTTGTTTCAGTTTCAGTTTATTCCCACAAACCATTAGATGCTTCTATAGGCTGCTAGAGAGTGAACCTACAATTATAGGCACATTGAATGGTTCTGCCATTGCATGGGTTTACTTTTATGTAGGTTAAAGCCTCGTATGAAATGTTCTTGAACTGTTACAACCAACAACAGATTCTTGCAGATGCTGTCGCCTCTGTAATTCTTTTTCATTCTTTTTACTTGCTTCGTGTTCATCGTAGTTGGAATGAATAATGGTGGTTGAACTTCATGCCACTTGTGGTGTCACAAAATCAACCACTATACTTGGTATGCATCAACTCAATTCATCTGGTAGGAGAGTGTTTGAACCTGTGTATGGTGGTTGAATTTTGTCATGTGTTAGTTTGCTATGTCAACACCATTATTCATTTTTTGATGAAAGGACTAATTTTGAAAAATTTGTCAAATTAGAACTAGAGGAACAAAATCATTAAAATTGAGGGACTGAAACTGTTTTTATTATATCAAATAAAGTTTTAATCTAACTAGGTGGGATTAACTGCATTAATCGAACGATGTCCTATTATTTTACAAATCATGTTCATTAAGAAAACATTTCTAAATTTTTATAATATTTAAGTGTATCACCTATGGTTCATTGACATACTACTTATTTGGGAATTGCACTAACAAAGGGGACACTAGAAAGAGAATGTCACAAATGAACTTTGAGGTTTGTTTGTGAGTTGAATTTTGGAGAATAATGGAGGGTTTCAGAGTCATTGCACAATTGTATCATATGGCTCGTCTAAAATTTAATTTCCAAATATCCCAAAGTAAAATATATTTAATTATTTCACTTTGCAAGGATTTGTATAAGGCCTTTGATAATAATGATTGGTTGCATAGTTATGAGCACTTCCATATTCAGTTCCTTAATATCTTTTCTTACATACTGATGTTAGATTAGAAACTTTGCTGTTTTTGGTTGGGCCGGGTTAATAAGCCCTGGCCATTGATTTTCCCCACTTGGTCTGGGTTGGCCCAAATTTGAGTCCACAAAAAAGAAATACACGCCCATAGAAACGACCCCATTTTGTTTTCTAATATATAAACCGATTTTCGGCAACAGTCACAAAACGCAGAAGCTGAAGCAGAGGAGGTAGGGTAACAATGGCGGTTCCACTACTTACCAAGAAGATCGTCAAGAAGCGCGTCAAGAGATTCAAGCGCCCCCAGAGCGATCGTAAAATCTCTGTCAAGGTTATTTATTTCCATAATTTTAATTTAATTGTTTATTTTTTATATCCATTTCGGATTCACCTGTTGTAATTGCTAGTTAATACATGCTATGATATAATTTTTTGATATTGATTTGAGATTATTATGCTATGAATTTCAGCTGCATTTCTAGGTTTTTTCTTTTTCTTACCGCATGTCCTGTATTATTTCTGCTAAGCTTTGTCGATAAAAGCTGAAATGTGCTTATTATAACATCATAGTTTTCTTAAACTATTTTCATATTCTTATTTGCTAAGCTTATTTTCATTAGCTCATATAAGCTATTGGTAAGCTCTGTATTCGTGCAACCATAACTTTCTTGTTTAGATGAGGTAATTCAAAATTTACGGGACTTTAAAATGCAACGGATTTGAATTGCTCATTTACAACAAAAAAATTGTTTGGATAGCTATACCTAAGATTTTAGTAAAAATTTAGAAAGAAAACAAACTAAAATGCAAAATTAGAACTGAATGTCATATAAAATATTTTGTGTTTGAATTGCATGGGATTCCCAGTGTCCAGTTTTTATTTCAATTACTGTAGCTGGATATTTTGTTTAGAGGGCAAGTAGAAGTTTTATAAGGTTTTGTTACACAGCTGTCTGTTGTCATAGTTTCGTCATTATAAACGAAATGGGAAAAATTATTGAATTTTCTGTGTTTTATGTTACATATCTGATCAAGGAGTGAAGCATTCTTTTGTATGTTGGTTAGTTAGATTAATTTAACTCGATATGGCTTATTTGTTAGGGTTGAAGGGGCTGCTTATGCTCTAATGAAAATCCATTTTTGGCTATTTTATTTGCATCAGCCAAGCTGGCGCAGACCAAAGGGTATAGATTCTCGTGTGAGGAGGAAGTTCAAGGGATGTGTGTTGATGCCAAACATTGGTTATGGTTCAGACAAGAAGACTCGTCACTATCTTCCTAATGGTTTCAAGAAATTTGTTGTTCACAATGTGAAAGACTTGGAACTGCTTATGATGCATAACAGGTGAAGAAGCTCTTGATTTATACTGATGTTTAGAGTTTAATGCTTTGCTTCAATTACTGTCTTCTGATTGCGTTTTTATTATTTTTTATTTCAGGACTTACTGTGCTGAGATTGCTCACAATATATCAACAAGAAAGAGGAAGGAGATAGTTGAGAGAGCTGCACAACTTGATGTTGTTGTCACAAACAAAACAGCTAGGCTACGAAGCCAGGAGGATGAATAGTCTGAATATCCATGAAAACTTGGCAATGCCAAAAGCATGTATTTTGATTTACTGTTTTAGATGTTATCTGTCTTGTTCTCATGCTTTCATGATATTGTTAAATTGGTTGCTACTTGTCAATTTTGTATTGTTCTGATGGAGAGAGCAATTGTCAATCACTTGGTATATCTTATCCTTGCTGAAATATGTTGACGACGGTTTTATCAGCATATTTTACTATTACAACATGGAGGGATCTACTTATTAGTAAGTTAAAAACATAAACGATTTGAATTATATATGAACTATTTGAGTTTCAAATGATCAAAATGTTGAATAGGTTTTTCAACTCTTGGAGCAATGTTATTAAAACTAAAGGGTATTGGTATAATGGTGCAGTGGTTCAACTAGTGGTTCGGTAATTAAACTGCATGTCGGTTAAACTGGACATACTTGCTTTTATATATATATATATATATAAACTTATAACAAAAAATTTCAAATAAGTAGGTATTTAAATTTATAATATATATTCATAATTTACTTCAAATTCACACAAACAACATTAAGTCTTTAATAAAATCAAAGTCTAAAGTGCAAAACATATACAAGTTGAAGAATTGGTGAAGAATTGAAAATTTGAAATTTAAAAAAAAAAATTAATGTATAAACCGGAAGGTTTAAACCAGTTTTCACCGGTTCTATTGCATATGTGGTATAACATATGTACCGGTTAGGAGTTCGGCAGTTTTTCAGTTGAACTGACCGGTACTGTACGGTTTTTATAACATTGTCTTGGAGTAAGTAGATTACTTTTCTTAATGTAGTGATATTAGTGTAATATTCAAATATTCCAATTTTACAGTATTTTTCTTATATTTATTTATGTCTGAAACACTTCTTATATTTCCAACTTATATTCTATTATTTCTCTAAAACTAAGTGTATTATATTGATGATAAATTATATTTTTTCTATCTTTTAAAAGTTTCAGTCTACATAACTTTTATTTATGAAAGTATTAATTGATAATATTAAATGTTTTGAAAAAATGTGGTCAACAAGCACAGCAACAATACTTCTCATAACAGTAATATTATAGAAGTGAGCATGGATAATCTAATTTAATTGAAATCAGAATTTTTTTCTTGATAAAATATAAGATGTTTGTTATTCTCTGTACTAGTTTTATATTAAAATACTAATAGTTGCAAATAACAGTTAATCTTGTTTTTTGTTATATAGTAAAATATTTTTTAGCACTAAGAATAATTGGGTTTGCTAAAAGCAATAATTAAGGAATCCATAAATGTAAAGTGATTAAGTGAACCTTAAAAAATACTTCAATTAAATAGATTAAGAATAAACATTTTTTATTTATTAATGTTGCTTTCACACTTTTGGGTTGATTAATGTTTGTCCTAAGTATAAAAAAAGCATTAGTACATTGAACTAACTAATAAATATTTGCACATTAAATAAAAGGAGGATATCCATTTATAAAAATTATTCCACATATTAACTATCAATTCTAGGAAAATTTAATGATTTGAGTTAGTGAGTAGATCTAAATAATTAGATTTCCCTAAAATTTATGGCTAAGACGTGAAGTAAGTTTTTTAACTCTTTGAGTAAGTGAATTACTTTTCTTATAAAATTAGAAACAGTGGAATTAAGTTTTTTGGTATTACCAAGTGTATCCTTTCATCCTATGCATAAGTAACTAATCATCTTCAAAGTATGTTGTTGCCCCTCCTAATAAGTGTCACTCCTAAAATTGAACCTCCGACATTTTGATCTTTTTGGGGAACAAAAAGGGTCTTATATCATTAGACCAATGTGTTGTTGACAGTGAAATTAAGGTTTGTGAAGGTGAGATTGTAGGCCCAGTACTGTGAGAATAAGAAGTGTCCACAAGTGGCAAGGAATATCACTTGACTCATAGAACAAACATCTTAGCTGTGGAAGGTGTTTTAGTTAAATAAACCTTTAAAATATGAGGCAATGAAGAATCAACCATATTTGCTGTTGCCTTGAATATGAAGTATAAAGCTGTCATATTTACTACCCTGCATATAGCATTAGCAACTTTGCCAAGAAAAGAACCCAAATAATTTTAATCCATCATTTTTCTTTCATATATAAGAACTCTCTCACTTCCACAAAATAGAAGCATAGAGAATTTCCTTCACTACTTTTTAGGCTTCTCAAATCCCCAACTACCTTTCTTGTTTCAAGAAGCTTTTCCCTTATCCAAGACCACACAATAAAAGATGGGTAATGAGCAAATGAAGCCAATTGCCACATTTCTTTTGTTGCTGAATTTCTGCATGTATGTCATAGTTTTAGGCATTGGTGCATGGGCTGTGAATAGAGCAATAGATCATGGGTTTATTATAGGTAACAAAAATTGACACATTTTCTGTGACACATACTCTTTATTTATCTCTTTAGCATGCTTTTGTTATTAAGAAAATACTCATGCAGGTTCAGAATTAAAACTTCCAGCTCACTTTTCACCATTATTCTTCCCTATGGGAAATGCTGCCACTGGATTCTTTGTCACATTTGCTCTGCTTGCTGGAGTAGTTGGTGCTGCATCAACACTCTCTGGAATCGATCATATCCGTTCATGGACTTCTGAGAGCTTACCATCTGCAGCTTCAGTTGCTACCATTGCTTGGACTCTTACACTCTTAGCCATGGGGTAATCGGTCGCGCTCTATGATCTGTCTGTCTTATTCATGCACGCATCATATATAAGTTTAACATGTCATATATGATGTTATTGTCCTAACTAAAATTTAACTTTGCAGTTTTGGCTGCAAAGAGATTGAGCTTCATATCAGAAATGCTCAATTGGTAAGACAATAAAACTCATTTGCAAACCTTCCTAAGTCTATATATTTTCAACCACTAGAGTTTCCTCTTAACACTATGAAATGTCGAATTTTGCAGAGAACAATGGAAGCTTTTCTAATTATCCTTTCAGCTACACAGCTTTTCTACATAGCTGCTATCCATGGTGTTGCTGCATATAGGAGTTAAGATTGAAAGCTGGCAGAATTTTTTTTCTTTTTTCTTTTCCATGAGAGATTGTATTTGTGTGCTTTTATTTCTTTCTCTTTTGTTTTCCTATTTGTTTCCTCTCTGAATTATTTACCTCTTCTGTTTTATACCAACCAAAACTTCAAATTTATAAAAGCAGATTGTGGTCTCATTTGAATGATTGGATTTGTATGAATAATAGTTCATTTACAAAAGCTTTAATGGAGAACACTATCCATGTCTTTCAAACTTTCTCCAGTGCCTCACCATAGTAACGATGATTCGTTGTAAGCATTGATCATGGCAAACTCAAACTGCTATAAAGGTGACAAGAGCAAGCCGCATCACTTTGACGACCATTTTCTGGTCTTAAATGAACATAGGGCACAATAGAATCATAGTAATATTCTCATAAAAACCATGTATGAAAAGATAAGTAGTCATTTAGATCCTTCTACAAGGTTTTTTGATTTTTACTCAGGTACAAAGCCTTGACAAGTTTCTTACAACACAATTCCACACACAGAACTATAAGGAAATCTTCCATTGTTATCCACATAATGGAATTATACCTCATTGCAAAATACTAGTAGAATTAAAAACGTAGTTTAAAAGACTCATGTATTGTGCTGTAATTGTTGCTAACAGCAATAACTGCAACAAAACTCACTGCAAGTAAACAAACCTTATATGAATTATATAGTTGAGCCTGGTTGCCCATTAAATTTCGAAAGATCTTCGAGGAAACAATCTAGATCAAAATATCGCAAAATCTTTTGACAATGTTCTAAATCTTCACAAGTTTGATGTGTTGCTTGTATTTCTGCAAGAAAAACAGAAGGCAGATATTTGTCAGCCATAACTTGAGTTGTAAGTTCAAAATGTATAGTGATACTACTCAGATAATACCCAAAGTAAGCATTATCATAAAGAACAAGACAACTTATAAATTAACCGATACTATTAAATAAACTAAGTGTATCTTAAATAACAAAATCTGTGCCCAAAAGATATAAATATTCTATTATGCTCAGGCTAGAATGAATCATAACAAAGAAGCGTCTACAAAATAATAAGAACACACTAATAATTCTAGAGAATCATGCCCTCCTAGTGCAACAATATTTTAGCAGTTTTCTTCTTTGATTCCTCCTTTGTTATTGTTAAGCTCCTATTCTTACATTCATTTTCCGATGTTATGCCTATTTACTGTTAAGTAGAGTCCTTATTTTGTTAAATATACTGCTAGTATTAAGCAAAAAAAATCATCATTTGTTGTCACCTCATCCACAAATAACTAACACACGTTGAGGTCTTGTTGGCAATGTGCGGATGCTATGAAAACAAAGGAGAATTTTGTGCGAAGCAGCATATAATCTATATAGCGTAGCACAGAGATAATCTGAGATTACTATAGCTTCACATTAATAATGAAGATTTAGTCAATTATATAATATAGAAACCAACTAGTTCATGAATGCAAGACTCTCAGATTGGACAAACAAGTCCTAAACTACAAGGTCAC